CCTGTGGGGAGCCTGCTCCTCCCTCTGCCTGTGTCTCTGCCTTTCTCTATCTCTCTCTCTGTCTCATAAATAAAATCTTTAAAAAATATATAAAACAAAACATTAATATAAAAGGATGGAAAAGGATATATCATGTAAACTAATCATAGGAAGGCTGGAATTGTTAAAATCAAATCAGATAAAGTAGAATTCAAGACGAATACTGACAGAAGAAAGATGTTTCATGGTGATAAACAGATATTTCACCAGGAAGATGTAACAGTTCTAAATTTGTATGTACCTATTAACAGAGCCATCAAAATCCATGAAGCAAAAACTTACAGAACTAAAGGAAAAATAGAAAAATGTGCAATTACAGTTGAAGACTTAACATTTCTTTGTCATTACGTGACTCAACAGAAGGACAAAATAAAGTAAAACAGTAAGGATATAGAAGGTTTGAGTAAGACAAAAAATCAACCTAATAACATTTTAAAATAGTAAACGGCAAACTTCAGAGTATTCATTTGTTAGAAGTACACAAGGAACATTCACCACACTAGATGGTCAACTTGGCCATAACACAAGTTTAAAGGATATTAAGAATACAGGATATGTGTCTGATAATAACCGTTAAATTAGAAGTCAGAAACAAAAAGGTACAAAGACAATCTCAAAAATATTTAGGAATTAAAAAGCATACTTCTAAATAATCCACTGGATCAAAGAAGTCAAGGGAAATTCGAAAATATATTTAACTAAACAACAGTGAAACACAACATATCAAAATTTGTGGACTACATCTAAAGGACTGCTTAAAAATTTTGTATAGTTTTATTTTATTTTTTAAAAAAGATTTATTTGAGAGAGAGTGAGCATGTGTGTATGCATGCAAGATTGGGGCGGGGGAGAAAGACTCCCCGACTCCTTGCTGAGCACAGAGCCTGACCTGGGGCATGATCCCACTAGGCCAAGATCACTACCTGAGCCAAAACCAAGAGTCAGGTGCTTAACCAACTCTGCCACCCAGGTGTTCCACTATATATTTTAGGGAAAAAAAAAAGGTTTAAAATTAATTTTAGCTATAACCTTATGAAGCTTGAAAGAAAAGAGTACCCAAAATAAGTATAAGGAAGGAAATGATAAAGAATGGAAATTCGTGAAACAAAAAAAATCAACAGTAGATAAATCAACAAATCTAAAAATCAGTTCTTTGAAAACATCAATACAAACAACAGGCATCTAGCTAGACTACCAACAAAAAAAAAAGGAAAAAGAAACTGAAAGGTTACCATTATCAAGAATAAAAGTGTCACATCAAAATGGATACTGAAAATGCTAAAAGGAGAATAATATGAACTACATAGTACTGAAAAATGTAATTTAGATGAGATCACAAATTCCTTGAATGACACATATTACCAAAATTGACACAAGAAGAAAAAGAAAAATCTAATGATTTCATTATAGATGTTAGAGTAAATTCATAATTAAAAATTTTCCTATGATAAAACTCTGGACCCAGATGATTTTCTTGCTAAATTCTATTAAATATTTATGAAAGACAAATCTTAGTAAAACACTTCCTGAAAATAAACCCTTCCAACTGATATAATGACCTAAAAACAAAACCACACAAGGATATGAGGAAAGAAATTATAGATCAGTATCTCTCATCAATGTAGATATAAAAAACCCCTTAATGGAATAATAGCAAATTGAATTCAGTATGACAACACATCATGACTAAATGGGGTTTATCCTAGAGACAAAAGGTTGATTTAACATTCAAAAATCAATGTAATTCATTATTCTAGTAAAGGAGAAAAATCATATGATCAGCAGATCCCCCACAAAACAATATACATTCATGACCTAAATTTTATTTTCTTTCAACAAACTACAATGAAATTTCCTCAGCCAATAAAGAGTATTTAAGAAAAACCTACAGCTAACAACATCATGTTTAATGGTTAAGGAATGAATATTTTCCAGCAAAGAACAGGAACAAAGCAAGGATTCCCACTCTGGATATAGTATTAGAGGTCACTGCAGGTGTAATAAAGCATGAAAAAAGATATGAAGGCATACGTGTTGGAAAGGAGGAAATAAAACTCCACTCACAAACATGATCATGTAGAAAGATCCTAAGAATCTACCAAAAAAACTACTAGAATTAAAAAGTGTATTTAGAAAGATCCCAAGATACAAGGTCAATATGCAAAAATGATATTTACAATAGAATTTAAAATATTTAGACATAATTTTAATGGAAAATGTATAAGATATCTACACTAAAAACTATAAAACACTGCTGAGACAAGTAAAAGATCTACATAAATGGAGAGAAGTATCAGTTTCATACATCAGAAGACTCAAATGTGCTGCTGGGATCTTCAGTTCCTCTAAACTGATCTTTAGATTTAGCAGAATCGCAATCAAAATTCCATTTGCTTTTTAGTGGAAATTGACAAACTGGTTACTAAATTTTATGGAAAGGAACAGAACCCAAAATGGTAAAGCATTCTGAAGAAAATGCTTGAAGGACTTCTACCTATTTCAGAACTTGTTGTAAAGTTGCAGTAATTGATGAAGTGTGGTTTTGGTGTAAGGACTAACAGAAGAGAAGAGAGTCCAGAAACAGACCATGATTTACACTATTAGTTGACTTGAAAAAGACTCCAACAAAACTTAATTAGGAAAAGGAAACTATTTTTAACAAACGGTGCTGAGACAAATGGCTCTTTCATGTAAAAATAACCTCAACCCCTTATACCATACACAAGAATGATCTGAGATGGCTCAGAAACTTGAAATGAAAGCTAAAACTATAAACGTTTTTAAAAAATGCATAGCAAACTGTGACCCTGAGATAGGCAAAGTTTCCTCAGGTTTCTTTACAGAAAAAAAAAAAAAAAAAAGATAAACTGAACCTCAAATAAAAATAACAGTTTTTGCTCATTGAAGATACTAATAAATAAATGGTCAGGCTGCACACTAGACTATATTCACAATACAGATGTACATAGAATTCCTACAACTGAGTGGTAAAGAGACAATCATCCACATAAAATTGATCAAGACATTTCACAAAAGAAGATAATGGGCAGTCAGCACATGAAAAGGTGCCCAAATTATTATCAGGCATGTGATAATTGAAATCAACAGAGATAACATATGTTGGAATGGCTGAAATTAAAAACACCAAAACCAAATGTTGGGGAGGATCTAGGATTACTGGTAGGAGTACAGAATGGAAGTATTTTTCAGCTTTTTATAAAGCTGAACATACATCTGCCCTGTGAGCTAGCAGTTCCACTTCTTAGGACAAACAAAACGTAGCCATAGAAGGACTTGTGTCACAATGTTCATAGCAACTACTATTATTCATGGTGGCTAGAGCCAGGGGCAGCCCGGGTGTCATTTTTTTTGTTGTTGTTGTTTTTTAAAGATTTTATTTATTCATTAGAGAGAGAGAGAGAGAGAGAGGGGCAGAGGGAGAAGCAGGCTCCATGCAAGGAGCTGATGTGGGACTTGATCCAGGGACTCCAGGATCATGCCTTGAGCCAAAGGCAGATGCTTAACAGCTGAGTCACCACAGTGTCCCGCCAGGTGTCGTTAATACGAGAACGGATATATGAATTATGATGTAGTTCCACAATGGAGTACCACTCAACAAGAAAAAGAACAAATGGCTGATAGATGCAGCAATATGAATTAAAAACAAAAAACAAACAAACAAACAAAAACAATGCTGAGCGAAAGAAGCCAGACCCAAGAGTGCATACTGTGTGACTACATGGTTTTGACATTCTAGAAGAGGCCAAACAAGCCTAGTGATGAAAATCAGAATATCAGAACAGTGGTTGCCTGGGAGTAAAGGGACTGACTGAGAAAGGGAACAAAGAGCTTTCTGGAATGATAATATCTGCATGCATGTATCTCAGTGCCACCCCAATTAAAATAAATCAATGTCTTTGCTTAGAATCTTTGCTGAGAACCTGGGCATCAATTTTTTATCATCCCTCCCTATCTCCATATATAAGTAATTCTGGTGGACAGTAAGGGTTGAAAACGAACATTCAAGATCTAAAAATTTTATCACCAAGCAGTATTTGTCTATAATTTTATAAGGTGGGAACTGTAACTGCAAAAGATTCTTATTAGTACTAAAAAAGCCTTCTGTGGATAAACGTATACACTTGCTCGTTGGATGAAGAAATGCCCAACTTCTACGCATCTAATTTTTGCCTTGGCTGCCAAAAAGTTCAAAGCCAAATTCAGTGTTCAGTTTCGTGATTAACATCCCAGCTGCCTGATACACCAATCTGGGGGGTGGGGGGAGATAGAAGATGAGGGGCCATTAAAATATCCTATCATATTTTAAACTACCTCAAATCATGTTGGGGAAAATGACAGAATATCAATCACGTAAAATGTTGGTCATTTTGGAAAAAAAATTTTTTTCACAAAAGATATAAATACATTGTATGCTTCTGCTTCTTGTCAAAAAAAAAAAAAAAGGGTGGGGGTTAGATCAGGAAAGACTTTTGCTGTTGCCTGGATGAGTCCTCTGCTAAAGGTAAGTCACTACCCAACCAAATGATCGACTAACGTAAAAAATACATCATTTTAAAATACAACCATATTGACAGGGAAACTCTCCCCTTTTATTTGATTAGAAGGGTGAGATTGGAGGAAGCCATGTAAGAGTACGGAATATGTGAAGAGTCCCTAATGGATCATAGATGGCATAAAAAATTTAAGTGCACTTCATTACATTCTTAAGGCTAAAGAAAGAAATCAGATCTGTACGCAAATGTGCTCACTGTCATTCTGTTTCTATGATGACTGGTGTCGGCTGCTTTGATTTCATCCACTGGATAGGATATTTTTCTGCCCTTCTCATTTAACCAAACCATACAACCTTGGCCCTCAGGAGAAAATAAAACGTCTTTATTCCCAAAGGGCATATTCTAATGTAACATGAAGGAAAAAAGAAACAACAAAAAGCCTCTCACCTGAGTTGTCTCACTGTTAAAAAATCCAGTCAGCGGTTCCTCTTTTTGCACTTTTCTCCCCGTTAAGCAGGACTCAGCACTTCTCTCACTATGGATGTTTTTTTCTATTAACCTATTTTGCATCTGATTGACTTGCTTTGTTGCAGCCTTTCGAGGAACAACCTGTTGATAGAGAGTAATAATGTATAAAGAAAACTTTTGACACTTGTAAAGAAAAATACATTCATGTCCAGATTCTTGAAAATTTTAAACTTGCCAAGCTTTGAAAAAAGGAAGAAATAAAGAGGAAAGCAACAAATGGATGTTATGGAAAGAATATAGGAGTTGGCAAGATCCAGACTCTTTCTCATCAATACTACAAGACCAATTAAAATTAGTGTCACTGTTGTACGCTCTTTAGAAATTATCTCTACAGATAACTTGCTTATTGAAAACGGCATTTTTACAGAAAACTGTCACATTCTAAAACTGCACATGAATTCATTATTAACCTTTGCTGGGAGTGGATCCAGTACATCTTTTTAGTTTAAATTCTTATTAATTAGAGTCTTAGTTTTCTATCATTGAAGTGAGCCTAATTAATGTGAACGTATAAAAGGAGCTTATGATGTTGCTTACTTTTTTAAACAGGTAATTTAACCTTTGAGCGGGTGAGTAACAGTTCATGTCACCCAGTACCTTGTACCAGTATCAGAGGTTAAGTTCTACAACAAGCCTGCTGTCTCTAAGGTTTCTTTTTCACACCACGGTGCTACCCCGGGGATGACTGACTCTTAATAACCTTGAAGTAGACACGGAAATAGAAGGGCAGATCCCACAATAGAGTTGGAAGATTGAAAGCCACAGTGAAGACCCTTATGTGAAGTATTTGCTCAGCAGCTTCATGTTTACAGCAGCTGAAAGTGCCATCACCTTTTTTCATGGGTTAAATAGGGGGCAGAAGATAGGAACAGCACAAGGGGAAATAATGGAGTAGCCTGTGCCAAAACGGAGAATGAATTACATAGGCTGGGCAAGCAGAGCCTTAATTTGTAGTCTCTCAATTTTTAGCTTCTATTGCCAAATGTGTTCACTCCTTCCCTTTAATATATGCTGGTGTTTTGTGGCTAGGTCTAAGCTGTCACAACACCATTCTTTATTCGCCCCTCCTCCTGGATCCCAGCTTCTCAAAGGATAGCAAAGCCATTGCTTTTCAGTAACCTGACAATTGGAATTGTTCCCTCATCACTCAGGCTTTCTTTATTTTCACCACTCAACTCTCCCAAACTACTGGGAAAATTCATGTGTAACCACCTTCTGAGTCACTCTCCCACTGACGTCGTCTTTGGTGACAAATGCTCATCATACCACTAGTGTGAAGCAAAGGCTTTCCCAAGGCCGTTGTACACCATTTCATCCTAATAAAAGACTGGCTTGCCAATCATTGTAAAACTGTGTTTTATGATATAAAGGATTAGTTGAGATATTAATTGAGGTTTTTAATTCCTCCTGGATGCTAGGCACTTGAGGTATAACAGGTTTTGGCCTGGGAGCCTCTGATCTACAAACAAAATTTGATCTAATATATTCAGTCCTCTGAGAGGCTTTCTGGAAGAGCTGATGCCTACTGGATCTGCTGTCAGTTGGCCGGATGGTTAGATTGTGCTGCCATAAGCACTTCTAGCTAATAAACAAAATGATATCCAGTTTATGAAAAAACTCCTATTTCTACGGAAACTGTTAAATGGTAAGAGTGAAATGGGATGATTAAGTTTTACCTCTGTTCAATTGTGAACAGAGGTAAAACTTTCCTCAAAGACATAAAAGTAGTACAGGAAACACTGAGCATCTTACATAATCAAATAAAATGATATTGTCCAAATATGTGTCATTTTCAAGAAAGTGGCCATTCAAATAAAGTACCTTTTATTTAATTTTCCATTGGCACTTCACAGTGTTCTAAGATATCAGGAATACGCTGGGCTCCCAAAATTCAGTAAGTCAAAAACGTGCTCAGAGCTGATAATTTATATTCTCCTTTTCTCACACAATATAAATATGAAGACAAGTTTAATAGAATTACTTTGAGAATTAAAGCTAGAAAGAATTTTATGAATTTTTAAGTTCAGTACAAAGTTTACTATAACCAATAATGATATATTCACCCCTGGATTTGCTGTGGGAATCTCAGATTTAGAGTAAATGAAAGGACAAAGTTTTACTTGTCTGAAATGTAGGACAGCTGTTCTACAGCTACTCCTCTGCCTCGGTAGAGCATTTAGGAAGGATGGGTGGCTCATTACGCCCACGTGTCTGTGCTATTACAATAGGGATGCAGGCATCCTAACAGGGAGATAAAAGGATCCACTACTGTCTCCTGAAGAAACAGCTTATTCAAGGGTTGAATGGGCCCTTCCATAATCATGGTTTTCTAACTTGGCTTTAGCATTCTCATCTGGGAATTCGAGAGCTTTAGCTCACCTCAATAAGCATTTTTACTGAAATATGGTTTCCTTCAGTGAATTTTGGACATTAAATCCCAGTGGAAGGCATAAATAGACTGTGGTAGCCCTGATGATAGATTCTTCTAATTTGACAGTGTTACCTCAGGAGCCATCAGAGCTACTAAGGAGTGATTTCAGCCATACAGACTATCATTTTGATTGAGGCAAATGCCCCAAAAGATTTGCTTTTCAGGAAAAAAATATCAATGTCTCCCCTGTCTTGACAAAAATTCATTTCCAATTTAACTCCAGTAACAGCATTCGAGGACTTGTGCAAGGCAGCGGCTCAGTTTACAGGAAACAGTTTATGATGCCTACTAAAACCCAGTATTGGAAAAATACCTCATTTTTCTTTTGCAAAAAGATGCTATAAGTTTGCCAAGATTCTTTTGGTGATATGCTATTTTCTAATACCTAACCAAACATATTTTTGTTAGGAATGCTAAATTTAAAACGCACAACCACTTACACTGAGGGAAATAACATTAAAAAAAAAAATCCTAAGTTTTCTTTGAATACTGAATGAATGATAGAAATATTTTATTTATCTAACTGTGTATGTTTTCTGGTCTACTGACTCCTTTTTAATTATCTTTGTCCAAAAAGTGTAAGTCCAAAATTCATCCAATATTCTGTTAAATAACTAGAGTAAACCATGTATGAAGTAACAGGAAATGTTTTTTAGTTACTAAAAAGGGATTCTATGACTAAAAAGAGAAATCTGGAGCTATGTGATTGATATTCATTCTGGACCGAAAATGATTTTTGTTACGGAAGCAATCAGCTGCGCTACCCTGTACTTGTAACATTCAGGGTAACGGACTACAGGACAGTTTATATTGTCATATTTTGCTTTTTAAACATTTCCAAGCTTAGTTTTTGCAACATTACAAAATCTGTAAACTTTAAAAATAAAAATTGAGATACACTGGGTTTAGCCACATGGTGAACCCATTTTTATATTATGACTATTAAATATATTTGCACACTTTAACTATTACAGAAATAAAGGCATTATTCAATAAAAATTCATCTGCTGTGAAAATATCTCCAAATCACCTTACTGTCTATGACCACTGGAGCTGGTCATATTATTAGAAATTAACTAAGGTCTTAAGAATGCACATTATTTTTAGTGTTTTCTTTTTGCTCATAATCAAAGTGCTCTAATAAAAAGGGAAGAATAAAATATTTTTGACTGGGGCTCATTGGAACAAATGTTTTATGTTCTATTCTCTGCATATAAAAATGGTTTCACAACAAACATCCTTCTGAAAATTCTGGTGGATAATAATTAGAATTTTACATCAGAGGATATAACTATCAGTTTTTAAAATGGCTTCTTTTATATTTCAATTAAGTTTATGAAACTGAAAAACTACAAAAAAGGAAAAAAAATCTACTTAAATTAGCGTAGATTAAGTGGTGACCATTATTGCAAGGGAAATACTATGTTAAGGAAATGGCTCTTTGTTTTGTTGCAAAAGTGATAAAAACACAAAAGTCAATAAAACTGTTAAAATAAGTCTCAGTAATTACCAAGATCAAAATCCACTGGCTTTTTATTAAACATGAACTTTTGTTCTGCCTTCTGCAATACGTAAATAGTGCTGACAATTGGTTTGTGAGGCATTTGCTACAATAAAATGTAATTGTATCATGAGAGAAAGGTGACAATCAGGAGATCATGAAAAAATTACATATTCTCACTGGTAGTTAATTAGCCATGCAAAACCTCCTCAAACAGATATTCTCTTCTATTAGGAATGATTACTATGCAGGCCTACAGATGTCAATACCACAGTCATTCAAATACTTCTTTCCCTACTAATTGAAGGTTGTAAAGCTCTGGTGCCAAGGTTTTGCTTCCAAAGAGCTAATTTATGACTAGAAGGATATTTTATGTCTTCAGTTGCAGCAGCTACAAAATTCAGCAAATCAGAACCATCTGTGCACTGATACTTGACTCACCATTCATCTCGCAGCCTATCAGTCACATCAGTTTGCATCCTGCATTCTTGGCTCATGCACACTTGCGATGATCCAAAGTTCATAAGAAATATTAAAAACGAATGGCATCCTGACCCTACCTTATTGTACACGCATCAGGAAGAAGCGCCCCCCGCCCCCATCTTGTGTGTATGGACAGCATCAAGGAAGGCCTGGGCATCTGGCTGCCCGTCCAGTGAGGGCCCTCACAGCAGTCTCGAGTCTCCCCCGCCCTCTACGAAATGCTATGTGAGTCCTAATTCTTGTGTGTTGTTTCAAGTTCAGTTTTTTTAAGCTGACGTATGTGAGTCAGTTGGAAGATTACAGAGTGAAGGAGAGAAGGTGTAACTTAAAAAAATGTTTTCTGAAAGGTTACTTTTGTAGATTGAAATATCAGTACAAACAAGTCCTCTGGTTATAAATCTAAGAATATCATTGTGATTGCCACCAAATTATGGCCAAACCGGTAAGCAAAAACAGAGGGCAGTAACTAAGGAAGTCTGAAGAGAAGCAGCAAATAAAAGTTCTCAGGAGTAAAGTCAGATTAGCCTTTAATCTGACCCCGGTCATAACTCTGTGACATCAGTCACTGCCTTATTTCTTTAATAGAACACTAAATAGGCCATGGATCCTACTATTTTTCTTTAAGAGACAACAGGTCAAAAGAACTTTCAACAAAATTTCTTGGAGCTGAGGAGAAATAGGAATTACATATAATAACCAAGAAACTGGGTTGTCAGATTCCTTCTGAGACCTCAAACAACTTCATTTGGTAGAAAAGCTTCACAGAAGGTAAATCATAGGATCCCAGGGACTAAATTACTTACTTTTTGATTGTTTGGAGTATGCACATTTACACTCTCTCCTCTGGTATAAAAGTCCAGTGGTCCTAAAGGTATCCCACCTGGGTTCAGAATTTTCTTGAGCATTTCATAGTCTGGCTTTTCATCATATGCTAAATTATGAGCACATGTCAAATATTGGGCTATTTCACCTGTGAAGTGTTAAATTTTTTTTACAAGTTATAATTGGCAAGAATTGTCAAGGCTCCAATATCATCAAAACCTCTCTTCTCTTACACTTGCACACAACACACATCCTGAAGAAGCTAAGAACGAACCGTCTGATGAAAAGCATTTTTCAAATGATACTGAAAAATGACTGAAATAGTCACCCCCGAGACTTGACAAGATGGGAGAAACTGGTAATTCTTTTTTTAAATATCTTTGTATGTTTATTTTTCACTAATCTTATCAAAGGGCACAAATTTTTAAAGTTATAGTTAATGATTTTGATTTATGGAGTGCAATTACTAAGAACTACATAAATAATATAATAGACCAGGTACCTTCATACTTTATCTTGAAGTTTTAAAAATTCAGTTAAAAACAAGTTTAACTTATTATAAACCTCCTTACTTTGACAGAAAAAAAAAATCACTGCAAACTTTAATTCAGGCTTTGATTTTAAGATTATAACAGTACATTTAGAAATGACCTTGAATTCTAGGTTTTTTAGCCATGACTAATTTGGTCATTTGGCTCCCTCGAGTCCTCCATACCTGGCATTCACTGCATTGTCTTCCTGATTTAGAGCAGAAGGATGAGATGTTGCTACTTTTTTTTTTTTTCATTTTAATGTAATCTCTTCCATAGAACTATATAGTAATCCCCTCCAAAAATATGAACTAGAAACCTTTTAAATACAAATAGAATTAGTAACAAACATCACTCCTTAAACAGATGTGGTTAGCATTTTTATTTCAGGTGGAGATTCAATCTAAAATCAAGACATAAGTAAATAATACCATATACTGCTTAAAATCCAGGATGTTTTCCTTTGTTTGGAGAGGTGTTTAGATACTCCAAAAACTAGTTTTTACAAGCTTTTCCCCTTCAAAAATGTGTTACTCACGCAGACATAAGTACCTCTTACTTTCTCACTAAGTTGCTATATCCCCGTGGCGGGGAAAATCTGGGAAGCTTTGTGGGTTGGCAGGAGTGACTTCCTAATCCTTCCCTTCCCCTCCAGGCCCACCTCCATTCAAGAGGGAACTGCAGACACTGGCTTTCACTCCCTAAAGGGGGAAGAAATTCCAGAAGGAACAGTCACCATCCCTTCCCCCTATGGAAAGTCCCCTTCTCCCTATGGAAAGTCAAGGTGACCATTTTATACCCTATTATCCGCAGCTATGTTCTAGGAACATAAGGCTACTGCGGCTAAAATGAGAACTCTTGGCTCCAGGGTTTTTTATTTTTGGTTTCTTTTTTTTTTTTTTCTTTTAGATACTGTGGCAATTATGCAACCTACTTTTTTCCTTCTCTAATGTTGTAAGATTTATCACATTCTTGCTATCTAACATTCAATCAACCAGATCTCTATTAACTAGCAAATGGCATGGCTTCATCACATTTATAACTCCTGTGTCCTGATGCCCAGTGCGGGCATCCGATTCCTGAAGGGATGATCAAAAAAGAATAAAGATTAAGTTACATTCACTACCATCTTCATGTAAATATTCTGTTGTTCTTTGGCCCTTTCGGGATTGGTAAACCAAGTCTGGTATATATTATTACAGTTCTGTTAACCAAAATATCCCAAATGGAGAAGAGAGCTGAATGTGATGGGAAAATTTTCACAGGTCATGGCTTGAAGACAATGGAAGATTCCTGGAACCCCACCAACTGCCAGCAGCTGTGCTGCAAAGTCTTCGTGGGTCTGAGGCGTGGAAAAATGAGGTATCCGGGAGGTTGGAAAGAGAGAAAAAGAAAAGCCACCTCTTATAAATTCATTATTATCAACCTGAAGCTTAGACTATTGTGATGTATTACTGCTCTAAATGCTAGCCTTCCAAGATCTGGATTTATTATTTTAAGTATACTTTTTAATTTACTAGCATATCTCTGGAGCTATAAAACAAAATGCTTTGAGTAGTATGAAATTATGATATTCTTGAATCATCTGCTTTTAAGCTAATGAAGTATTAAATATCATTACTATCATTTCAGGAGATAGAAACTTTTGCAACTATTATTATTACACTGAGCTGGACGTGTGTATTGGAAACTTGTTGGTGGTTTTATTTCATAAATTGCCTCAGTAACAAACCTTTTATAAATCAGATTAATTGTCATGCTTGCGGTATTCACTCCTAAGTACAGCCAACTAAGAGATCTTTGGTTAATATTAAAGTTTCAATGTTTTGTGCTTTAGAAATAGAAATCTGGACTTTATAAAATAATAGGATGGGCTCAAATAAATGGTTTGTACTGAAAACGGAGAACCTGGCACTCTTGTCATTTCTTGTTATCACTCAGATCTCATCTCCAGTAGTAGGAGTATCACAGAATATACACAGGCCCACAAGCATTTATCTTGTGCAACCCAGGGCAGCAGGGCTTTCTTTTCTAATCCTGAACCAAACAGTCACCTTTTGTGCCCGAGGGGCAGAAAAGGTAAGGGAGATACGCAGAGAAAACTTTCTTTGACATCTTCTCTTTCTCTTGCTGTCCTCTTGAGTAAAACATAAGCTGTATGACTTGGTCAAAATGCCAGTAAGCCTATTAGCCAAAAAGGCAGACTGGCATTTTGACCAAGTTACTCAGTGCAGTTACAGAAACGGAGAGTTTTCATCCTTCAACCCATCCACCCTGAAGGAGAATACTCCCGGGTTTGTGCCCTCCGTCAGAAGAGGGACTCCAGAAAGTGGGAGGCAGGAGGCTCACGCTGGGGCAGCCTTAGGACTTGGGGAATGGAGGTGGAAAAGCAGAACTGCTTTGTTCCTCTTTCGTTTCTCATGGAAATGAACATTTTGGTTTCTTGTCAAAGAGGGGCTATAAATAGAAGTTTAAGATAATTTAACTCTACATTTAAACTCTCAGATGGAAACTGATGCTATTTGACCTCATCTAGAGGGTCGGCGTACACATTCACTTTCGTAAGTCAGCTAAAAGCCAACTTTGAGATTGCCCAATAGAGAGAGAGAACAAGATTCATTCTGCTTATCTGTCTCTGAGAAAAAGCGAGCCTGACAGCACAAGCCAGCTCTTTTCTATAAGACAATCGAACTCATTTATTAAATTGGTGAACAATGTGCCATGCATGCATATGCAAACGACAGGCACTTGGGTAATTGTGAATTGACTTACTATTTTTTACTGATAATACCGTCAATTAAAGAATTGCAAGAAGATCCATACTAACTTGAAAGAGAAAAACCATTTAATGAAACATACCTTCAAATCCCAAGGCTATATGCCTTCACCAATCCAAAAGTATTTTTTGTTTTTGTTTTTGTTTTTTTTTTGCTGGCTGTTTAGTCAGAGTGCAACCCAGGTCTAAACAACACTCAAGTGTTGGATGATTTGGTTTTTCAAATTATCGATTGAAAGTAGTCTTCCCCTAGATCGACTTTATCTCCTTTCAACTATGTACAGGTGGACAACATCAGAACGTCAACTCTGAAAGAACTAGATACAACTGACTACTAAACCTGTGTATGATTCTTCCCTTCCCGTAAAAAAAAAAAAAAAAAAAAAAAAAAAAAATTGCAGTCAGCAAAGCCTAGAACGTGGCCTCAATGTTTTCTTGCAGCCTTCTTGGGTTCTAATGTCAGAGAGGATCTAAACGTTCTCTCCTCTAGTAACCCGGTACACAGCACTTTCTCCTGCCCCATGGGGATGGGAGCGGGTAGATTAAGCAGAAGCTGTAAAACAAGAGTGACAAATGTGCAAATGTGGTGACCTGTAAATCATACAGGAGAAGGTGGTGGAAGTTATCATTTGACTTACGGCAGCAGCTTCCGGAAGGAGCCCATTTAAGCACTGACTCAGGGAGCTCATCCAACAGACTAAAATAAAATAGAGTGATACACAATGAAATCTGTTTACCATCCTGTGATTCACTGTTTTGATTAGAAAACAAAACTCAAACTCTGTGTTGGCGGGTCACCCATATTATGCCTTTCAATATTTTTTTTCACCCACCTGTAATGGGCAAGAGGGTAAGTGGAGGTGGGCGAGATCCCTCAATTCTCAATGACCAATTTTCTACCAATCACCTAGAAACTAAATGTAGATTTACAGTGTAAATGCTTTAATTCATAGTCCGTACTTGTAGAAACGCAGAAGTAGGGACATTATCATGATTTTTTTTTTTTTCTTAAAAACAAGAAAAAATACGTGGGAAAATTTTATCAGGATTTTTCAGGAGATGTTTCCCTCTGGCGCTCACCCTCGGGGAGGGGCAAATTATTTCCCTGTTTATGTGCACTGTTCTCCTTTGGGCAGTGCTTTATGCTATCCTGTGATTAATTAGGTTTACAAGAAATATCCACACAGCAAAACAAACAAGAAAAGGCATTATTCTAACCCTTTCTGGTGTTTTACTGAACAAGTACAATTCTTTGAAGTGGCTTCAGCCACCAATATATAAACATGCAACCAAGGTTATTGATATGAATGTTTGATTGGCAAACTCGGGCATAGGCAGAGTTGCAACAGTAAATGCACTGCTCTAAGGGCACCCTACGTCAGGAAACTAAAGGGCATGGGGCGGATACGGTCTCATGGCTGTACAGGCAAGCACGCCCTTGAGGGAAACTCCGCGCGTGCCTTCTTAGCGGGCTGAATGAACTGTGGTCATATAATACTTACCATCAGTCTAAAAATGTCTATACGTCACCTTAATTATAAACTTCATCAGGTATTAGCTTTACTGGCTTATAGGTTTAGGTTAGTACTCAAATCAAAAAGAAGATACACATAAGGGTCCCCAAAATGTAAATGAGGTCATGCTTACTGGCATTAGATTTCATTATTTTGCACGACACCGTATCATATTTGAGTGGACCCACGTAGGCACGGTCTTTAGACATCTACAATGAGAGCCTCCATCTAGGTCCACTGATGAAAGACTAGATCAAATCGTATCAGTGAGTCTTATCAAAAGAAGAAATACACAGCGCCTTTAGAGTTAAGACGCGCATCTTTTAAATATAGCACATTATGCAAATGAGGTGAACCGAGGTGAAAAACTGGGTATCAAGATTGTTTATATATGCCCGTTACTGTGCTTTGCCCGTGACCCGTATATTGAAAAATGTCGGTTAATACAGTCAGTTAATCACCGCGGTAAAGAACTGATTAGCCAAGTCTAATATTGACTTCTAGAAACGTGTTCCTCCGGGCAAGGGGCCGGGCGCGGCGGCTCCCAGGCGGCTCCCAGGCGCAGGGAGGCCTCGCGGAACTGCCGGAGTCTGCCCGCCGCACCCGCGGGCGAGGGGAGCTCGCGAGGGGAGCCCGCGGGGTGAGCCTGGGTCCTGCGGTCCTGCGGCCCCGCGGCCCCTCGGCCCCCCTCGCCGCGACTCACCTGACCTGCGGGCGCAGCGCCCGGGCTGCCTACTGGGCGGCGGGGCCTGGCTATTCTGCGCGCGCAGCGGCCTTCCTCGGGCCTCCGCGGGGAGGAGTCCGGAGGCGGCGCCCCCCCCCCCCCGGAGGGTGACCCGGGCCTCGGGCGGGCACATTCTAGGTGATAAAGTGGCGGGGGAATCCGGGGCGTTCTCCGTGCTGCAGGGCCGTGTCGGGCGTAGACACGCTCCGTATACGTGAACGAGCTCTGCGTGTTGCTTCCCTCAGGAACAGGACACACTCCGTGGCACCCGCAGCGCTGGGGGAGGGCAGAGCGCCGCTCCCGCGGGCACCGGGCTGCCCCGGCTCTGGAACCTTCCCCAGCCGCGCTGCACGCGGCGGGGCGGGGCGGGGCGGCTGCCTGCGTGGACGCCACAGCGGTGGGCGGACGGGCCCTCGGCCGGGAGGGAGGCCGCGTCTGGCCCCCAGCGCCCCCCGCCCCCCCGCCCCCCGCCCCCCGGGGCCCCGAGGGCGCGCACCTGGTCTTGGCGGCCTGCACGGCGGCGGGGTCCCGCGCCTCCCAGGGCAGGCGGCCGGCGCAGCAGCGCAGCAGGCAGTAGGCCAGGGTCTCCAGGTCACTCCGCCGGGACGGCGCTGCGGGAGGGGGCGTCGGGAGACACGCGTGAGGCCGAGCCTCGCGCCGAGCGCCGCGACGCAGCACGAACGGAGCAGCCGAGGGGGCAGAGGCGCTGTGTTTGCTCAGCTGCGCGGGGCCGCGGGGCCGCGGGGCCGGCCTGGCCGCCGCGGAGGGGACGGGTCGGCTTCCGCGGCCTCCAGCCCCGTCCTCCCTCGGTCTGGCCTGTCACGGGAACCTGAGCTCGCGGCCTCTGACAGGATCCAGACGACCCATAACCTGGCACCGACACTTTCTCAAAGAGCCAAGCAGGAAAACAAAGAAATAAATGTCTGCGGCTAAATTGCTGCCATATGTGGCAGGAGGCCCCGGGGCCGCGCCGGCCCGGCCGAGACCCTCCGGGCGCAGGGGACGCGGCCGCCGCAGGCCCGGCCTGCTCCGCTCGCCCAGCAGCTCCGGCAGCCGGAAGAATATGACAAAACTGCCATCTAGTGTGCAGGATTAAAAACCAGGCCCAGCTGAAGATTTCTCGATTAAAGGAGAGAAAACATCAGCTGCTGAAGGCGTGCGGTGCCAAAGCCCTGCAGATACTTTGGGAGAGGGGCAGCCTGAGCTCCGAGTCTGGTCCAACAGCCCGGACGGGACGCCCGGACGGGAGCCGGACGCGTGAGGCGGCGCTGTGCGGAGGCAGCCGGCCGGGGGCCTTCCGGGTTTAAAACAGGGTGGCTTTTCGTCAAAAAAAAAAAAAAAAAAAAAAACAAAAAAAAAACCCATACAGGGGAGCATTTTTAGGCCACCGTAAATATGACTTCTAGCGAACTACTCGGTGCTACAGACTAATGGTATGGTAATTTTTTGCGTTTTTTAAAGCGTCTGATGTGAAAAGACAAGACAAACGAAATCCACCGTAAGCCAAAGTAGAACAGATATTACTGGAATAACGATGAAGACATTAACGAGACCCCACAAAATAAACTCATTTTTTTTTTTTTATAACCACTGCAAATTGTTATAGGACAATAGGCTGGTATTTACATTTCTGCCATTACTTGAATGTTCATCTGTGCGGGGATATAAAATCCCCTAAGTGCAATATGTGGCCGTTAAGCCTGCTGTAAACAGGTATCCTATTTTCTTAACGTTCATTAAATAAACTCTGAAAAGTCACTCAGTAAACTTAGTTTTTAATTTAAAAAGTCACCTATTAAGAAGGACGCTGCTAGCCCATCATAACGACTTTTGGTGGTCATACACAAGTTATCATAAAAGCAGAAGACAGGATGAGCCGTTCCGCGTAGTCTATCTTAACTGCTCTTAGAGCACTGGATTATTAAAGGCCCTTCAATCTAGCAGAATGCTACAGTCCCATGGGCGCCGTTTGCTTTCTTCACAAGCTTCCACAATGTCCTAATGCAAGACTTGGCTCTCCTATTAAAATAAAAACACAATCTCTACCACGCTGTTTGGTACTGATTTCTTCAGTCATAAATCTCCCACTAATAATGGAATGGTTCCATTTGTACAGATGTGTTCACAAGTCCCTTTTCCATTATGGCAATTCCTGGTTACCACCACTTGAAAAAAAAAAAAATTCACATCCTCTAATTTTCAAAAAAAAAAAAAAAATCTGGCACCGGTTTGGACGACATAGACTACACACAAGAGGCCCTCTGAGGAAAAATAATCAGAATTAAAGTGGAATAAACTTTCCCAGTCACTTCCCCCCTCCTCCAACAGAGGGATGACTTGATAGGAAGCTGTAAGTAAAAGTAAGGACAAGTCCTTTAGATTTCTGAAGGCAATCTTTCATAAACTGGTTTTCATTCGAAATAGCCCCTTGAGAGTTAACTTTACTTCACTATTATAGTTTGATCTTACCTAATTAAAATACATTATCGCATTTTCGATCTTTATTTTCTTTTATTGCACGTATACATTGATAACTATAGTTACGTAAATGTTTTACCACGTTTCCACTAAAATACATGTAATGTTAGAAAAAAAAAAATCCTATAGTCACTCTTTCCCACCATGAAAGAGACACCTTTCCCTGAAGTGCCTTCAGAGGAACAAATGCAAAATTCTGTGTTTTAATGAACTTTAATGAAGTTCAACCCCAAGACTCGACCCATGATTAAGTCTTCTTTCCAGCTACTGTACAGAGAAGAGTCATTCTAATACCTGTTAAATTCACTGAAAATAAATATTCTAGATGACAACATTAGCAGCTATGTGGATGTGTAATTAACACAATGAATTGATCATATATTTTTAACTGACTTTAAAATGCATCTTCGAAATATAGATGATAGGACAAAAGGATAATTATAGAACTCAGGAATTAAATAGTTGGATAGGAATTATACTAGTCTATTATTTCCTGTGCATTTGAAAAAAAAAATAAAATGCTGAAAGCAAAAAAAAAAAGAACTGATTATATTTGAAGAGAACTCTTAATATCTAACTATAAAAATATTTTTAATTTGAAAGTTGAAATATGAAGTATTTTGTTTCTGTAGAATTTGGTCTCTGTATAATTTATTGTAATATATAATATATTCTTCAGTTGAATTTGATTATTAATGTAATCATTAACAGTAGTATATTTTTATGTAGATTTTACTTATGATGCTACTGCTTAGAAATGTGGCAAGATTTTGTTATTAATACTTTTCCTCTACACTACATTGTTAGTTTTAAAATATAATTTCGCATCTAGTTTTTATTTACCTCATTAATATGGAGCAATGCAAATGACTCTTCACTGAAAACCTGTTGTGTTCTCAATTGTTTAACATTTCTAAATTATAAAGTACTGCCAAGAGTAACAACAATTAAAAAAAAAAGGCACGGGTGGGGACTTGAATTCTATCTATTCTTCTAAAAAGCAGATTCCAGGAACAGTGGACACTAGAATGCATAATTAAAATAAAACTAACTGATATGATTTGTGGATCTGCTACTGTGCCAGACGCTCCAGCTGCTTTTATATTATCTCATTTAATCATTCTAACAATAGTATAAAGTACTACTAAGCCTATTGATAAATAAGAGAAGCTCGGAGAGGTTAAGCAACTTGTTTAGTATCACAAAGCAAAAATTGATGAAGCTCTGCACTGAAATCCCAATCTTTCCGAATCCTGAGCCGACAGTCAATTAACAATTACTCTGCCCTGTCATTAGTTTTAACACCCTTTAAACCACATTACACATAGTACTTCTACAGTCGGGGGAGTACCTGAGGTGGGCTTTTTCACTTACAACACCAGAAGACATACTGATGCAAGCATGGTTGTCTGGCAAGGAATAAATCAGCAGCAGGTCCTGAGAGGCAGCAGTAACTAAAGTTTCCATGCGACTATCCTTCTATGAAATGATTTCTTTCAAATCACTTCATTCGATGAAGAAGGGGGTCTACTTAAAGCATTACTTTATAAAGTGTTTTGAATGTCTTTCCCAGCTGCTAGGAGAACAGGAGAAGCTAACTTAGGAGGACTGGTCCTTATTCTAAAGACAAACCAGAGTAAAAGTCTCTGGGGCCAACTCACCAAATGGAATGAAATAGGAATTGAGGGAAAAAGAAACTCTAAGTGTTAATCCCAAAATGGATCAGATTATTTGCCTAAAGTGCTTTCTGTTTAGTTTTATTTTTTATAGAGAGTAACATGAAGTATGAAGAAAAATAAGAAATAATAAAATGAACTTAAAAACTTCTGCCTTAAGCAGACAGGGTTGAAATGCCCAAAATACGAGTTGCTATGCCCAGAAATGACCTAAGAAAGAAGAAAACATCTGAACAGGATGCTCACCTGAAGAAGTGAATCGTGACTACCCATGGAACAAATTTAGAGTGTATGCTTTCATTCCCAACTAGTAACCTGTATCATTATATTTTGTCAATTCAGATTGACAAAGAGCTGAAAAATTTCACGGTGGCCACAATATATTGCATTTCAAAAAGGATATCTCAAAGAAAGCATTAAACTCAGTCTCTCAAAAAAAAAATAAAATAAAATAAACTCAGTCTCTCTTATTTTCTCCGTACCTTTAAAATTTTATTTTTTTTCAAAGGCCGGTTTTTAAAATGATTTTATTTATTTATTTTAGGGAGGGAGGGAAGGGGCGGGGAGAGAAGCAGACTTCCCACTTAGCAGAGAGCCCTACATGGGGCTCGAGCCCAGGACCCTAAGATCATGACCTGAACCGAAAGCAGATGCTCAACTGACTGAGCCGTCCAAGCACCCCAGTATGTTTAAAATTTTAAGTCTTAGTTTTTTTTTTTTTTTTTTTTTTTTTTAATGAAACGCTACTCTGTGAGTCTTAGGAAAAGTTATTTAGTAGAGCAAAGGTGTTATTTTGTTTTTTTGTTCTTTTAATTTTTATTTTATCCATCCTCCCACCCCTTTTCCCTCTGGTAACTATCAGTTTGTTCTTCAGAGTTAAGAGTCTGTTTCTTGGTTTGCCTCCCTTTCTGGTTTGTTTGTTTTTTTCACCTTTGCTTATTTTGTTTCCTAAATTTCACAAAGTTATCTTATATTTGGCCAATGTATATTATTAACCCAATCAAATAGTTCAAGACCTACATTAAGGCCTTAAAAGTCATGGCTAAATGTCAAAATTGGGTTATACCATGTAGAACAAATAGTGTCTTCATTATTTTTTATTTATATATCGACCGAAGACTGTTTATAGCAGTAAATTTACCTAAAAACAGAAATCAATGGTATGCTTTTCTGACTACTAACAGGATCCAAGCTTGATGGTGTACCTTAATATCATAATTGAAAAATAGGTTCCCTTTTTTGAATTATTATTTGAGGTGATAAATATTGTGTAAACTATATCATTTCCTCAAGTTTGGTAACATGAAAATACACTCTCAGTTTATTTCACATATATTTTGTAAGCTGGAGTGCTAGATTGGAGTGAAAGGAAACTGTGCAAAAAATAACACAAGACTTGGATTTCATATATCATAGCAATTGGCAAAAATAAAAAGTATATGTCTCTTTCCTTGATACTGAATATATTACACAAACAAATGGACATTTAAAATGCAATTTAGACATCATATTTTATGGTCATCAATGATGTCAAATTAAAACAGGTATTATACACTCAATGCAGAGGTCTGAAGTATTTAAAAAAGCTCAATATGTTAAATGCAGTATATCTCTAGAGAAATTAGGTATTGACTGCATGCCTCAGTGAGTAGAAAAATCTACAAAAATCCATACCACACATTGATCCAAATATTGCTTTTTAACATTACTAAGAATGTAACAAATTTTAAAATAGTATATTTGACACAGATATAATTCTCTTTAATTATCAGGCAACAAGCCCAAAATATGTCAATGTTTATGCATGTTAGTTTTTATGAAGAAGAAAAAATTAATAATAGAAGAGATAGGTAAATCCAATGTATATTACTCTAATTTTACATTAAATGAAGCATTTCAGCCACTCAGAAAATACCTTTAGGTCATACAAGAGAATTGAGTTTGGAAGAATAACTGCAATTTTTAAAAAGCATACCGATTTACATAGATATATGGCAGTCCCAGGAACATTCATTCAATTAACCATCCGTCTCTAGATATCTCTATTCCTATTTTTTGGTTTATAGTAATACAAGCTGCCTTCCTTTTACATAAGGTTGAACTAGAAAATGCTTACGTGAAACTGTGATTGGTACCTTATACAAACTCCTTCATTAAGAAAACCCAACTAATCCACAGAAAAATGAGAGTTCGCTCTGGTTTCCAAATACTCACTACAAAACGTAGGAGAGACCAGACAGTCTGATCAGGTTATCAGGCTCTGTTAAGTGGCTAATTCATAAGGCAGTTTTACACTAAATTCTGAATATTTCCCTGGACCTGACCAGACACAGATATACCTGACATATAGCAAATGCTTTGACAACTGGAGGTTCTATTTCCTAGAGATAACTTGTTTTGCTCTTTATGTTTTCCTTTGCATTATCTTTCTCAGTATTTATTTGATCTCATAGCTGGACTGGTATAGAAAAGATTTTTCTGAGATTAAACTACATAGTGACTGTACTGAAAGTAAACACATGAATATTTATGAATCTGACCTTCTACATTTAACTACAGGATTTATGGCCCTGTTTATTCTGGCTTCTAGATATGACTAAATGATCATTTCATTTCTAATAAAATCCTAAAGTAAAATGTTTTATTTTGGGAAATTAAATGCAAAACATTAGGAATGAATAGTACTCAAACATTTGAGGATATCAAACCCTTCACTTTATATATTAGACTGACACTGCGCATTGTAATTTCAACAAATGTATATATTTATATGTACGTATTCATGCATGTGTGTGTGTGTATATATGCATTCATGTATGTATGTGTATACAGCGGACCCTTGAAAAACACGGATTTGAATTGCCTGGGTCTACTTATATGCAGATTTTTTTACAATACAGTACTGTTAATGTATTTTCTCCTCCTTATGATTTTCTTTTTTTTTTTAAATTTTTTTTTTATTTATTTATGATAGTCACACAGTGAGAGAGAGAGAGGCAGAGACACAGGCAGAAGGAGAAGCAGGCTCCATGCACCGGGAGCCCGATGTGGGATTTGATCCCGGGTCTCCAGGATCGCGCCCTGGGCCAAAGGCAAGCGCCAAACCGCTGCGCCACCCAGGGATCCCTGCTCCTTATGATTTTCTTAGTAACATTTTCTTTCTCTAGCTTACTTTATTGTAAAAATACAGTATGTAATACAAATGACATAAAAAATATGTGTTAGTAGACTATGTTATCTGGTAAGACTTCTGGCTATCAGTAGACTTCAGTGGTTAAGTTTTGGGGGAGTCAAAAATTATACATGGATTTTTGACTATGTGGGGCATCAGCATCCCTAACCCTCAGATTGTTCAACGGTTAACTGTATATGTATGCAGTAGATATGTATATGTAGATATCTATGTGTAGATATAGATATGCCTAGAAGTTTAGTGTAAATTCTATTTTAAATGCATTTAAGGGAATCCACTTTTTATAAGAATCCTCTGAAACCCATGATAAAAATGCATTATTCACTACAGCATATAACTTTCTAGCAAATACCAAAATTATGTAATAAAGGCACTTCTCTGAATAGTCCTCCCAGGGAGGTAATACCATCTTTCTACCATCATTCTCAGTTTAGTCTTATCCTCAGAGACTCAGCATGGTGAAATCTACCCAACTCATCAACATGTGTTATTATTTGGGGAGGAAAAACCTTAAATAGACTACAAGATAAAAAACTGTTTAAACTGTTCACAAAGATAGCATAATGAAAACACTGCCATGGGGGGCCTGGGCGGCTCAGTAGGTTAAGCATCTGCCTTCGGCTCAGGTCATGATCCCAGGGTTCTGGGATCGAGTCCTATATCAGGCACCCTGCAGAGGAGGGAGCCTTCTTCTCCTTCTGCCTCTGCCTCCCTCTGTCTCTCATGAATAAATAAAATCTTTAAAAAACAAAACAACAAAAATCATTGCCTTAACCTACAGAGTATAGAGGGCATTCGGAATTAGCATAGACTGAATGTTGACCCAACTAACATGTGACAATTCTACTTTCCATACTGCAATCACAGTTGTTTCTTAGCAATTTCAACAGTTAAAATCTGAAAGGACCAGAATTAGAGCTATCTACAGAAATAAGTGGCTGAATCACATAAGTTAATATCATTAACATAACTGGACCAATGCTTAAGAATCTGTATGATGAATTTCTAGCTATACTGCTATGAAAAAGTACTTCTGAGTTTCTGCAAATTCTTTCATACTAATAAATCCAGCAAAAACGAGAAACAAAATTCATTTGGAGTCAAAGAACTTTAAATTGAAAAATATATCAGTAAGCATTTGCCTCTTAAAGTCCTTAATTAAAGCCATGTCCCACTATATTTTTAAATGCTCATTGATTCATTAACAATGTAAATGGTGAAAAATTACACAATATCACTAAATTTCTTAGTGATCATTACTTTTCTAACTATCCTATTCTTGAAAAAAAAATTAGTGGTTTCTGTTACTCTGATCAGGAATACAAAAGGTAATTTCCATTTCAGAAACTGTAACCTATGAATTCTTCCTGGAAAGAAGGCATACAACTGACACACTTATTTCACTTTTTACTGGCTTACCTTACAGTAGTGTGGGTTTTAATTGCTCTGGAAAAAGATCAAGACCCTCTATATTACATGGTCAATGGTCCTTTTAACAGAAAAGGCAATAATATACAGTTGTTTGCACCAACCAAAACTCGTCAGAAAGTATCAGCTTAGGGTAACAGTTCAACAGCCATTAACCAGTGCAAATGTCTAATTGTCTTTTAGTGAAATGGAGTCCTTTCAGCACTGTTTTTAAATTATTTTTATGGTTTAGCATATTTGAAAATACTTTTATAAATAAAGTTTACAAAGAATATGATTTTGAAAGGCAAACTTCTTCAATAATCACCATTTTTTTACTAGCATAACATTAGAATTGACTTTTTGTCTTGCTGACAGAGCAACTAAGAAAGTACAGTTGCATTGACCATATTGATTGTGAACAAAGCAACCATCAGTGGGACTCTGCACCATATATTTTCAATATTGACCTCCTACTTCCTTTTCCATGGCTTTCTGGGTCGGCTATTGGATTTGGACTGCAGTGTAATAAACAGCTAAGGTTTAATTAATGGTAAATGAATACAAGACATAGGTTATGACTTTAACTAATTAGGGAATTGTTGAATTAAGTCTGCCTTGGAATGCAAGGCAGTACAATCAATATCCAATAAAAGGACTATGTATGTAATTTACCTGCAAATGTGTTTCCAATACCATCAAAGTGAGTTTAAATAAGTAAGATATATGAAAGGCGACTAGGAGAGATTTCCACAAGTTAACACTTTATAGTTTCAGAAAAGATTTCCTTATTGCTGAGAGATGGTTATCTTCTAAAACTCTGATAAGGGCCTGGTGAAAAACAGGAATAATTCTTCCCATGTGCACCTTTACCAAATCTGTTAATAGTGGTGATAGCATACAAACTCACTTGCTGACCTCCAAATTTAAACTATAAAAACTAGTGATTTCCTGGCCCAAATCAGCATCAAGTTTTGTTTACTTGACATCCTGCCGCGCCCTTTCACTTGTCACAATCTGTCTCCTCCCCCAGTTAGGAAAAATATTCATTGGCATACAGGAACTCACTACTTGTGATAAAAATCTCATCCACGTTCTCACTCTTCAGACTGACTATGCAAGGGGCATATCATGGGCCTTATTACTCTTTAATCATTCTTCTGAAATAACATTAAGAAACAGAAAAAAGGAAACCTACCTACTCCCTTGTGGGCATCTACGCTGGTAAACTCTATTGTCCCATTATGGGCTTTTTTAGGATTTTCCTGATACTGTTTGTGGTTCCCATTGGGACAATATCTGTAGCAAAGTCCATAATCTGCAAGATAAACCTGGAAGACATGAACAGAGAAATGAATAATGCTTTTGTCCTCTGAAATATAACCTTTATAATTAAGTCTTAAGAAACTGATAGGTTAAGAACAGCCTCACATCTACATTTTATTAAACCAAATGGTGCCTCAGGATAAAATATGTACAACTGGGGGTCATAACAACTAACTTCCCAGCTTAAATCCTTACTTCATCATGGGCATATCTTGTTTCTGAGCTGACTTAGATTTTAGTCCTTTTTATTTTACTCCTAAATTCCCTTCCCTGCAGGTGGGCATCCAGATATCATAAACTACAATAGTTTTTTTTTTTTAAATCTGTATTCATACAGCTTATGAGGTCTGCCTTTTCTTTTAACCCCTCCCCTAAATATAAACGTTTTCAAGCAGGGAGGGGACAGGAGAGCAAATAATCTAAAAATGTAAACCCAATGTTATAGGAAACTCCATTAACAGGAAGCATAAAAATAGTGAACAGACTATAAGAGGTAATGACTCTTAAAAAAAAAAAAGAAGAAGAAGAAAGAAACCACCATGTTGTCTGTATTTAAGAATGGAGCATCAATGCAGTACTTTTGGCCTTTCAGACCGATCCATATCATCACTGTTATCTCTGTAAGTCAGTCAGAATTGCAAGCAGGGTCTCCAAACAGAATATAGATTGTTAAAAGTCAGATGGCAATTCAAGTGAATTTTTCTCAGATTACTTTTGGAGAGAGAAAGAAGGGGGGAGAAGTAGTTTTACAGATATAGCATGCACTGAATAGGGAACTGATACTAGACATTTATTCTCACATGTAGTCAGAACAGAGGAGTCCCCAACTCTGTTACCATGCTCCCTCCAAAAAGAAAGCAGTTAAATTTTTAAATGTGTTGTTTCACATATATTTCTTTAAAATTGGGGGACTGAGGTGACATTTCATGATAGAGCTTCAAGACAACAGAGTACTGCAATACAACCTGTGTTTTAAAATAGAATACCCATTAAAAGAAAATTTAGTATGAAATTTAAGTCTCTAAGTTTCTGGTTTTACGATAGCCTAAGGAGGAGATAATTTGACCTTCAAAATATAAACAGCACAGAGTTTTCTTCATCTGATGGAGAATATAGCTTGCTAGAGTGTCTGGAAACATGATATTTCAGTTTTCTCTCTCTCGCCCACAGACACCATTTCTCAACATGGCCTCAGAAGTAACCGATCCCTCTGCCCTAAATAACTAGACTCCAGGATCAGATGTGTAACTGGTTGCTTGCTTTCACTATTTATGATGCACTTTATTTAGTTTGAGAACTAAATAGACTTCACTTCGCGAAGTAGATATCCTGAAAATGTACATACTGGTAACTCAGCAAAAGGAAACATTTTAAATATGCTAGAGTAATTTACTATTTGAAAAAAAAAAAGATCTATAGGCAAACCGTAAGAGACTCTTAACTACAGAGAATAAACTGAGGGTTGGTGGAGGGGAGGCACAAGGCAGGATGAGGTAACTGGATGATGGGCATTAAGGTAGGCATGTGATATGATGAGAACTGAGAGTTATATACAACTGATGAATTACTGAACTCTACATCTGAAACTAATGATGGCTAACTGAATTTAAATAAAAATATTTAAAAAATTTTTAAAAAGACCTATCAAGTTTTCATGCAGTCGGTAGTTCAAAAAAAAAAATCAGGCCTAAAATTTATGGAGTGCCTAATATGCACCAGATAGCATGCTAAGAGCTTTATATTCACTGACCTATGGCATCCTCACAGAAATCTTGTAGGTGGGTACCATTACCTCTACTTTACTCAAGTACAAACTGAAGCCTAGTGAGATTATGTGATTTGTGTAGTAAGATGACACTGGAATCTTCACATTCAATCACTGTCAGAGGGAAATTGCACTGGACAAGTTACACAGACAAGGAAGACTTCATTCAAAGCTACTAAATAAGAGAGAGTGCTGCAATTGGGTAGGGAGTTTGAACTCAACTCCACTGAAACAACAAACGGGCAAGTTTTTAAGTGCAGGGGGTGAGCTAGTGAAATAACTGGAGGAGGTTAAGGGGAGGCTGTTCAGAATGACTAGGCTGTCCATGTTGTTATTTGGTGTACAGGCTCAGAGACAAGGGCACAAGGGCACAATCTTTCTTAATGACTACATTTTAAAGGGGGTGGCTCCCAGGTCCTTGAGAAAGACATTCCCAGGTTTTAAAACTGGCAAGAGGCTGGGAGAAGATGTACATCTCAAAGACGCAGAGAAAGAATTTACAATTTCAAGTTTTCTAAGGTAAATGCTCTAAAATAAATAAATAAGTAAAATTTTAAAAAAGGACAGGGGCCTCTAATCCAGAAGAAAATTGTTCTAAAGTTTAGTCAAGCTGAAGGGGAACACGAAGGTCTTCTTGATCATCATGGAGGTATGTGCCTCAAGATGGTATTGGCTTGCACCAACTCTGAAGGGCAAAGCAGGGTCTACATTTAATATAAGAACAAGAAGCTAATAATATAGTAAAGAAAACATATGGTAACCATTTTACTCCCCATAGGGGACATTAAGTAAAAATACCTCTTTGAGATAATGATTTCATTTCCTTTGGATAAATACCCAGAAGTGGATTGTTGGATCACAGGTAGTTCTATTTTTAATTTCTTGAGGAACCTCCATACTGTCCTCCACAGTGGCTGCACTAGTTTACATTTCCACCAATAGTGCACCAGGGTTCCCTTTCTCCACATCCTCACCAACACTTATTTCTTGTCTTTTTGATAATAGCCTAATTGGAGTGAGTTGGTATCACATTATGGTTTTGACTTGCATTTCTCAGATGCTTTAGTGATGCCGAGTACCTTTTTATTTGTCCGTTGGCCATCTGGATGTCTTCTTTGGAAAACTCTACACCAATCCTTTGCCCATTTTTTAATTGGGTTGTTTTGTTTTTGTTATTGAGTTTTATGAGTTCTTTGCATATATTGGCTATACCCTCACTGGTGGTTCAGAAAGGTTTTCTCCCATTCTATAATTGCCTCTTCATTTTGTTGATGGTTTCCTTTACTGTGCAGAAACTTTTTAGTTTGATGTAGTCCTACTTGTTGATTTTTGCTTTAGCTGCCTTTGCTTTTGGTGTCAAATCCAAAGATGACTGCCAAGACCAGTATCAAGGAGATTTTTGTTCAACACCTCGACATTTAATAGTGAAGCTTGCAAATTCCAAAGATAAAGAGAAGATCCTTAAAGCAGCAAGAGACAAGAAGTCCCTGACTTTCATGGGGAGGAATATTAGGGTAACAGCAGACCTCTCCACAGAGACGTGGCAGGCCAGAAAGGGCTGGCAGGATATATTCAGGGTCCTAAATGAGAAGAACATGCAACCAAGAATACTCTATCCAGCAAGGCTCTCATTCAAAATGGAAGGAGAGATAAAGAGCTTCCAAGATAGGCAGGAACTGAAAGAATATGTGACCTCCAAACCAGCTCTGCAAGAAATTTTAAGGGGGACTCTTAAAACTCCCCTTTAAGAAGAAGTTCAGTGGAACAATCCACAAAAACAAGGACTAAATAGATATCATGATGACATTAAACTCATATCTGTCAATAGTAACTCTGAACGTGAATGGGCTTAATGACCCCATCAAAAGGCGCAGGGTTTCAGACTGGATAAAAAAGCAGGACCCATCTATTTGCTGTCTACAAGAGACTCATTTTAGACAGAAGGACACCTACAACCTGAAAATAAAAGGTTGGAGAACCATTTACCATTCAAATGGTTCTCAAAATATACCCTAAAAACTATAGAACACTTCTGAAAGAAATTGAGGAAGATACAAAGAGATGGAAAAATATTCCATGCTCATGGATTGGCAGAATTAATATTGTGAAAATGTCAATGTTACCCAGGGCAATTTACACGTATAATGCAATCCCTATCAAAATACCATGGACTTTCTTCAGAGACTTAGAACAAATTATTTTAAGATTTGTGTGGAATCAGAAAAGACCCCAAACAGCCAGGGGAATTTTAAAAAAGAAAACCATATCTGGGGGCATCACAATGCCAGATTTCAGGTTGTACTACAAAGCTGTGTTCATCAAGACAGTGTGGTACTGGCACAAAAACAGACATATAGATCAATGGAACAGAACAGAGAACCCAGAAGTGGACCCTGAACTTTATGGTCAACTAATATACGATAAAGGAGGAAAGACGATCCACTGGAAGAAAGACAGTCTCTTCAATAAATGGTGCTGGGAAAATTGGACATCCACATGCAGAAGAATGAAACTGGACCACTCTCTTGCACCATACACAAAGATAAACTCAAAATAGATGAAAGATCTAAATGTGAGACAAGATTCCATCAAAATCCCAGAGGAGAACTCAGGCAACACCCTTTTTGAACTTGGCCACAGTAACCGGAGAAGGACAAACAGTGTATGTTCTCATTCATTTGGGGAATATGAATAATAGTGAAAGGGAATATAAGGGAAGGGAGAAGAAATGTGTGAGAAATATCAGAAAGGGAGACAGAACATAAAGACTTCTAACTCTGGGAAATGAACTAGGGGTGGTGGAGGGGGAGGAGGGCGGGGGGTGGGGGTGAATGGGTGATGGGCACTGAGGGGTACACTTGACGGGATGAGCACTGGGTGTTATTCTGTATGTTGGTAAATTGAACACCAATAAAAATTAATTTATAAAAAAAATAAATAAAAGCATACAGACAAAAAAAAAGGAGATTTTTCCTGTTTTCTTCTAGAAGTTTTATGGTTTCAAATCTTATGTTCAAGTCTTTAATCCACTTGGAGTTAATTTTTGTGTATGGTGTAAGATATGGGTCTAGTTTCATTCTTTTCCATGTAGCTGTCCAGTTTTCCTGACACCATTTAAGAGATTACCCTTTCCCAGAGGTAAACCGAGTGGGGGGAAAAGAAAAAAAATTAGAGAGGAAGACAAAGCATGAGAGACTCCTAACTCCGGGAAACAAACGGTTGCAAAAGGGGAGGATGAGG